GAAAAAGGAACATACTACTTCATAAGAGGCCAGATAAGTGGTCAATAAAGAGACAACAGAGATTTAAAAAACAGGGAAAAAGAAAACGGAAAAAAGAAAAGCAAAGCCAGAGTACATAACTACTGAAAAAAACCCACAACGCAGGTTCTACTAGAGGAAGGATAAGGCTTAAGCTGAAGAAGGTTTAAGACTCTATTCTTAGAGGAGAAAGAAGAACTCTTTTTTTTTTTTTTAAAGAAATACTTTCACCATAACAAATCAGCTGAGCACATAAGAAGTAACCTGCATTTACGACCATGGAACAGACTTGGAAATTTCCTCCCTTTTGTTGATCTCACGCAGCAATACAACCCCTCACATTGTACAATGTTCTCACTTGTTTGCTAAGAAATTTGATTCAGAGCTCTCCTGTGACAGATGTGAAGTGGTAACAGCAAGGCCTACAAGACAAGATTTTCAGAATTAACTAATGACTCTTCAGGCTTAGGTTAAATGACTGATTTTCAGAGCACACTCTGAAAGGCTGGGCTGCTTAAAGCTATTTTTGTGAAAGTATCAAGAAGTGCAATTGCAAGCTTCAAGAGTTACTTTTGAAAGTATCTGCCTTGGACTATCTCTCAAATTTTCTTATTTAAAATTAGATCTTCCTATTTCAAACCATGTTATTTTGAATCCCTCTCAATCTATCCCAAAACCAAGGCTAGTCCAATTCCCATTACTAAAAACTGATTCTCATTATCATAGCCCTCATTTGGATAATACTCTACTTACACATTACCTCACACTGACACACACAACACTGCTTTAAGTTCTTGTTATTAGTCTAAATGATAAAAAAATACTGAATAGAAATAAGTACTATTTTCTAACAATCGAATAAACAATGTAAACTGGTACAACTACATCAAACAAGTGTCCACCTCTGTGAAGATCCAATATGTTAAACAGAAATCAATGTATTTTATCTTATCATTATATACGTTGACACATATATACATTCTCATTCAGAACATATACATGTATGGATATGTGTATAATGTGTATGTTATAGACAGCTTTATATATCATATATCAATTTAATATAATGTATGAAATATGAATACTACACCAGCTTCCATTAAAGACACTCCTTTCACAATGTGTGTTTCCCACTGAAACGCATTAGGAGAACGTTAAGCTTGGTAAGTCAAGCACTCAAGTTAGAAAATGTCAAAATTACACTCACTGTACAACCTTGCATTGGTTCTTACATCATATAGTCCTTAATTGCACAACCCCTGTATTTTCCCTCCAGGATACTTGTCTTTTTCAGTGCCCATGATTAATAATGTTCAGTGAATGAACAACTGTTCAATATCTCACTTTACACTAGTAATTAACTGCCTTACACCTCATTTAAAATACGTTACATACAAGTTTCTCTGAACAAAGAATTATTAATTTCTTCTAGAGCATTTCTGTGGCACACTTCAATATCACATCCAAGAGTTTCCAAATTACATCTTCATAACAGCCTTCTGAGCTGAGGAGCTTTTGTTGCTCTTACATCACAGTCAGCTCAGGTCAAGAGTGACCATTACGTGTTTGCTCAGAGCACACAGGATTTCAGAGGGGCCAGGACCATTTGTTCACAGCATGGTTCTCCTTGACTTGGCTACAGTAGGGTGCATTCAAAACTTCCAGAAATCACTCCCCAAGAATCTTGGGTTGGAAATCAGAAATCAAGGAACCCACCACCTCGAGGACTGAAGGTACTTTCCCAAAACTGTAAATAGCTTCTGACCGAGGCAGCAAGAAACTTTGGCTCTGCAGCGCAGCCTAAGGGAAGACTGCCCTTCCCTTTCCTGCAGGTTTCTAATGCATTTTTCAGCTTCTCTAATAAATGAAATAAGGTCTCATGGGTGATCTGGCTGCCTGACCTACACAATCCTGATTCTCACCCTGAAAACTCCATCCTGGCCTAGACAGAGTTTTCATTTTTGTCTAACTTTGCATTACCATCTACCTCCTCGCCACCTACCCGAGGCATCTTTCCTCTGCATGCCAGTGGGGTAGCTGCTTTTCCTCCTGTTTGGATTTCATCAGCAGGAGTTTGAGTCTAAAAGAAAAGTTTTGCTTTCCAATACTGTGATCTGCATCAGAAGGGGCAGTGATCCTTAGGGGAGAAACAGTAAGAGATGCTCTTGCTGTGCTGTGCCCATACAGTCAATTTTTACTGACACCAACTTTTCTGAACTTCAAGGCTTTCTGACAAGATGGTGCTATTAATACAACTTTGATTGTTTTGAAGAGATTTTTCAAGGGGATGGAACCTACTTCCCCTAAGACATTTTTTAACATGGATAAAACAAGGCTTTATCCAACTTAACACAGAGAAACAGTTGAAGAGGGTTTTTTTGAAGTAAAAAAAAAAAATAAAAAAAATTACCCTGAGGCAGAGAACTGACAGGGAAAATTTCAGATCAAACAATTAAATACTAGTAAACTTGTAAAACCTTTGAAAATAGGGGCTTGTTATAAAAAACGTTAGGCAACTTCAGTTACAGTTGTTCCTGCTTGTGTAGTTGCCTACAGTATCTCTCCTCAAGTGGTGTTTGCTTTATGAAAAACTAATTTTAAAAAAAAACAGTGGAATTTATACTAAAATATACTTATCTAGGAAAAAATTAAATACAAAGTAATAAAAAAGGGTTATATAACATTATATTATCATTATACAAATATGACTTGTCTGCATATATGAATATACTTTGAAGGAAAAAAGAAGCACCAGTTTGGGGAGAGGAATTGTTAAGAAAAAAAAAAAAGTACAGCATGGATCCAAGACAGTTAAGAGAATGAAAGAAGACATGTAAATCATTCTCTTCATTTTTTGATTGTATGATCCCATTTATGTAAAAAGCAGAATCTGCCCCTCAGGACTAGGCTCTGAAAGATGTGAATCAGTAACGATTCAAGCCTTTCTCTGTATCATTATTTTTCAGTTACATTTACATTCTGAGTTGCCAGTACAGTCTCTAATGCACAATAGTTAGAATCACAAAACCCGCATTGCAAAGGTCTGCATAAAAATTAATTAGCTTTAATCTCCAGAGAGTATGCATCCTTCCAGGTCACCACGGAGGCCACTGGAGGTGCAGCCATAACTGCTTCAACACTGGAGCTCATTCCCCAGCTCCACTTTCCCATCTCACCAGCACAATCAACTTGGGTGATAAAAAGGAATTGTGCCATCAACTCTTTTACAAGACTGTCACAAGCAGCTTCATTCACTGCAACAACACTTATGAAGCAGCAAGTAGCTGACATCACAGGCTCAGGGAATGCATTTACATTAACTGAAAAAAAAGAAGTAATCAAAAATAGCATAAATTACTTCACTATCATTTAACAAGTAACTTTTGTTTCTTGTCCCATTAGAAACAGCAGTGCCAATCAAAGAAGGTGCTCTCAGACCTCTGCTTCCAGTGAAGTCTAAGGCATCTTTCTGTTGGCCATAACGGCAGGAGAAACAGGCTTTAAAAGTGAACTAAGGGTACATGACACATCAGAGCAACTCGGTGTGGAAAAGAAATACTCTGCAAGTACACGCCCTCCACAAAAGCACATGCAATAGATGTTAACTGTGTAAGCTGCCATACTGGCCAGTACTTCTTACATCATTCAGCTGCTTATTGCGGGCTGGGATGACCATATTGGTTAGTTGCTTATTCCCTGCCTTTAAAGCTGCATCTCTTCTTGCTTGCTCAAGCAGAACTCTTGCCCGTTCTTTAAGTTCTTCCTGTCTTGACAACATACGTTGCTTAAAAATAAAGAAATATCATTAACAGCAAAGCAGCCTCTGGGTACTTAACGTTTACACAGCAGTTAATAGCCGGGAGCCCTCCTATACAACAAGGGTCAGGAGTCACACGGGTTACAGCTTCATGAGGTGACAGAGCATTCTACCAAAATGAAAAGTAAAGATGATCAAAATGTAAAATCAAAAAAAAAAAAAAAAAAGTCATAGGCCTCCATAATGTAAGAGTTCTCTCCCCTTCCCTTAAAACTTAATTTCTATCCTTTTTTGACAAATACAATTATATAATATAAAATGTATTATATTTTTTGATCCATTTTGATCCATTTTTAAAAAATTAAAAAAAAAAAAAAACAAACCCACAACATTTTAATGCCTTTAAACGGTAACTCTGGAAAAAAAATAATTGGCTTCACAGAAGTTAGGTTAAATGTGCTATGTGTTTACTTATTTACTTTAATATGTACGCAAATATAATGCCTCGTTGGCTACTTCTATAGGCATCGCCCATTTATAACTTAAACTGAACACAAAGAGGCTGGGTAGAAGGTAGAAAAACTGTGAAAATATCTGCTTCTACTTCATTTATGAATACCCACAAGAAAGTCCTTTCTTCATATGCATGATCAATTATATTGCAGAGTAGAAATTACAGAGTGGGGGCTTCTGCATAGGCAGCATGGGCAGCTCCCAGGCACTGACTTCTTAGCGAAGGCAGATGGGAAAACGTGTCTCTAGGCCTTTATATGAAGTATAGCTGGGACAGATGTTGCAGGCTGTGCTCCTGCAACAACCACATGGAAATTGAGATAGTTGTCTCTAACCAACAACTGAGTGTTCAAGGTTAAAACTGAGGCTCACAGCTGACATTTTATTACTACGTGCAAATGCACAAGTGGTTAACAACAGAACCATCTTTAAAGTTGTTTCTGCCTTTTTCTTGGCACATGACATAACACCCTTTAACACATGTTGATGGTGAAGAGAAACTTCATGAGACTTTGCTTCTAAAGGAAAGAAATTAGCTAGCTATGGAACTAATATTTGGCCATTGTCATCCATCTATGGACAACTTCTGCAAAACAATGAGTTTTTATGAAAAAAACAAAAAACCTTAAACATATTTGAAGCGATCCAACTACCAAAAGACTGGCTACACTCTTTTTTTTATCAGAGCTAATAGCACAAAGCCAAAATTCCAGAAAGCCCTTTGCAAGGGTAAAATTATAAGCCTTCTTTGGTACTTTTGTAAAAAGGGCTAGTAAAATTTTTTACATATTTTTGGTAATGATATGCTTTACCTATAATACTCAGCATAATACTTCCATCATCACAACAAATCTGCAAGGTAAGTGGGCATATACTTTTTAGCTTTGTAGAAAGGAAAGTGATACTGTGGTTAAGTAACATGCTTACGGCCAATCAATGAACAGCATAACAATATTCTGGAGTTTCTACCTCACCACTGTGGCTGTGTTCACCAGGTGGTGTGGTTTCTCAGACAAGACTTTGAAATATCTTTGGTATAAGATTTTCAGAACTTTACATTTTTTTAATATGGACCAATGAGTCTTCTTCCAGTTTTTGTTTCAGTGTGCAATACTCAGAAGAAAGGTGTTGCCTTGCCCAGTGGCAAGTGGCAACTTAGTGGCAAAAGCCTTGGAGCCATCTTCTCTGAGACAAATAAAAATACCATTTCTTTTAGTTGGAGAGAGATTGGAAACATTAACATTAGGACAATTGCAATAAATATTTTTTTCATGTAATGGCTCTTTTTCAACACTACCTACGTTTCAGTCAACGTATTTATTGCTCAACATTAAAAATACACCATTCACCTCCCCATTTATACTGAAGACATGGTCTAAATTACAAACACAGAGAAAGAACTTGAGCAGCATCTCCATCCTTACTCACAGGTGTAAGAAAGTTTAAATTTCTTACCTGGGCTGTTTTAGCAGTTTGATCTGCATGATTTAAAGCTGTTCTGCTATCACTGTCAGAATCAGATTCTGTTTGCCTCGGAGAAGCATGTGGCTTCTTTGCAAGATCCATATCCTTATTATAAGGGTATCCGAGCTTCGAAGTAGGAGATAAGCTCGGCTTTGTGACAGGCAAACTGGGATCTGCTCTTGTGCTCTCTGTAGATCCTATACCTCCCAGCTTTTCTTGCTCTGAGAAACCAATGGTACTGTCTGAGCTCTGGTGTCTCTTCTTGTCATTATCTTCACAGGCAACCGTGGGAGACACGTCCTCTTTTTGATCACTGACATGTGCCAAGTCACTCAAGTCCAAAGTGTCAGCTATCAGCAATTTCTTCCTTCCCAGTGTAGGCTGTGCTTGCATTGTATCTGTACTGCTGCACTTCCCAACATCTTCAGACGCAGAAGTCCTTCCAGAGCTCTGCTGGGATTTCTGTGGATCAGTGTCACTTCGAGTCCTACGAGAAGAAGGGGAAGCTGTGCTTGGGCTTAAATGGTCATCGGGAGTCTGGTGCTCGCTCTCCGATTCGCCAACACCACTGTCATTTACAAACACGGAGTCGTCCTGGGAAGCAAAGTCTGCCAAGCCACCGTCTGGCGGCTGTAGCTCGGGCTCCCGGTTCAGGTCGCTCAGCTCTGCGTAGAATTTTTCCTGGTCGACAGAACTGTTTGTGTCCGTTTCATAGTTACCCACTTTGTATGTGCTTTTGCTACTGTTCTCCTCTATCTGAACTACGTTTAATTCCTGGCCACAGAAATGTGCCCTTATTTGATAGAGATAGGTCATAACAGTCAGTTTGTCAGGTATCGCTAACAAAACCATGTCAGAAGGTTCCAGCAATCGCGATATTCCTAAACTGGCAAACCCGTCGTATGCCTTTAAAAACAGACAAAATAAAGGTGAGAATGCAGCAGTTTCTTACATATCATAACATTTCAAGAAGACACAGCCACAATAAATAAGCCTAAAACATATCTGCTATTACAGGAACAGTGTGGGTTCAAGTGTGACTAATAAAAACACTCAAATGGCATTGTTTTAAATTTTTAAACATACCTCAGTACCACACTAGACTGAAATCTCAAAATTATGCCACTTTCATGAGTAAAAAGCTGTTAATGAAACTGCAACTTAAAAGCCTTTCTGTTCCCACTAGGAAAACCTACCAGTATCTTAAATGGTTCTCACTCAAGTAGCAGGAAACAAGCAAATAAAAAAAGTGTTAAGAGTTGGACCAGAAAAAAAAGCAGCTAAGGATGGCTTTTTAAGATAAAGAACAAAGATATAAGAAACACGACACTAATCCATCTTGGGCTTTATCACTGGTGATCAACCTTCTCCCTTCTACTGGTCATGTAATTGCAGTGATTTGTGTTGATGAAAAACTATGTCCAGATAGCCCAAAAGAACACCATCACAGATTACTTGATACAAGACATAAATCACATCAACCCAGCAAACAAATGCATTTTAAAAACAATTGTTGACGCTAAATTTATAAGAAAGAGAGAGTGAATTTAATTCCCATTTAACTTTGATTTCTAAAAGCTAAACAGTTTGCAAGCCTTCCACTTTGTGAGGCCACATTGTCTTCTTTCTGCTGGCTCCTTAACTGAGTGGGCTTGGTGCATCAGGTTTTTCTAGTTTTGAAGAATTAAAGCCGTTTCTCAATTTACAATTAATTATTACTATCCTGGATTAACCCTGGACGAAAATATTGTGTTTCAAGGAAGACTTTAAAAAGGCCTCCTGTTAGTGTAGATGCACTCAGTTAAAGCACTCGGACTTCTCCTCCCCCAGTAATTCTGCAGTCTTTCCACCCTCTTCTGAAGGGGTTTAAAATGTTCACAGTGGTTCCTACACTATTTTGAACAAAATGGATGCTAAGTTTAAGACATAGACAAGAACCTGTCTTTTCGCAAGGAAACAATGACACACATCACTGGCTCCAACTCTACCCCAGTTCTACGATATTTCCATAATTTATTTAGTTTTAAAAGGGTGGAAGAAAGAAAGAGAAGAGAAATCCATTATGGTTTTTTTATTCTCTTGATTTTCTTACTAGTAAATGTTCAACAGTGAGTTAAGAGTGTGGGTCTGGCCTGGCTGGCTCCTGGCAGACCCAGTTATTTTACTTGTTCTGAAAAAAGGAATCTCTCATTCCCTGTTTGAGGGTCAACCAGTTTTCATTTCAGCCACTTTTCAAACCCTTCTCCTGAGAGCTGGAATTTGTCTTCCTGAAATTTTGTATGCTTCCCCTCATGCTCAGGTACAACCTGCCAAACCATTTTTGGCAAAGTAATTTTTATATCACTATAACAAATGATTCACAGAGTTTATCTAGACATAGAAATTATCTGAATAATTTATTTTTAAGCCCTTCTGGCTCTCCCTGTGCAAAATTATTTGGCCTAAAATCATTGCTGGTCTTTGGTGGGGTATCATTTCTTGAGAAGGTTCATTATGAGAAATTGTTATGCCATTTATAAAAGCAGAGCTGTGCTTAGATATCAAGTAGCAGTGGAAAACGTGACTGCTGCATTTGCTGATACAAAGCTCCAGATGGAGCAGAATAGCAGGAAAATGACGGGTGGGAGGGAACAGAAAGACCTGGATGGCAGAAGAGGGAAAGCTGCCATTTACTTGGTTTGGGGATACAAAGCTGGAGGAGTAGGATCAGGCTGGATATGGAAGGGAGGGTGACAAGAGAGGTGGAACTGAACAGATGTGAGGAACACAGAGAAAGGAGAGTTGAAGGAGAGCAGTGCTGAGATTTGGGTGGGCTGCCTAAGCTGTGGCAGGTACTGGGAATGATGAAGGCTCATATGCTAGCATGTGAGGCTGGGTCTGAAAGCACAGTGAGCCAGCTGTGTTGTCCTGTGGAGCAAAGGTAACACTAAGGATTTATTGTTTGATTAAGTGGGTCAGTGCTAATTTCAGTGCCATAAATAACCTGCTACCCGACACTGAAGGTAGTGGGAGTTGCCATCTGAAGAAGGAAAGGACCTAGGGATGGGCTTAGCAGTCCACAGCAGCCAAAGCCCATAGACATGACTTGACCTGAACTCTTTTATACTCTTAATTTCTTATTTATATGCTAATATAACTAAATCCGAAGAATATCTCCCAGGGTCTCTAAAATGAAGGTGGGGACAATGTTTCAGAGTTGTCAGGAAAGGCACTTGCTTAGAAAAGGTAACACTACAGCAGAAGGACCGAATTTGGAACGACAGATATTCTTTCACGTTTTACTGTGAGTTTTAATTCTTCTGGTGATGCTCTGCATTAAACACAATAGTTTCCCACTGATGTCAGGTAGTTATTTCCCATGCTCGTTCCTTCTCATTCTGAATGATGTACATTCTTGCTTCTGCCCTTTTAAAGTACACTAGATATCTAGGTTGGCATGCAAATTAGTTCTATAAATTGCAGTGGTATGTTCTGTATGTGTCCATATAGCAGCATATGATGGGTTCTCCTTCACTGTTAGAAAAGCTGGGAGCTTCTTCATATTCCAGCACATTTATAAATGTCTGGTGTTTCTAACTAGCTTGTAACTAGTTTGTAACATGGTATTAATGAGTAAATTTTCCAAGTCAAATTACATTTTGTTAAACAGGCATAACTAAGCCTTAATTTCACAAATGTTTATATGCGTGTTTAAATATGCTCCTGCATGACCCCACTGAGGTCAACAAGCAAGTCTTACAGACACAAGCTAAAATGTGGTTATGATTTTGTGGAATCAAGTAGAAGCAAGCATCGGTTACAAAAATACAGCTTCCAGCTTAAAGGTAAGGGATTTTTTTCTGGTTTGACTCAATGCTATCCCTGAAATTCTGAATTCTTCTCTTTAAAGGTATATTCTGAAAGGATTCCTTCCTTGCAAAATGGAGTATTTTGTGAGGACAAAAGGTTTTAAATTTATTGAGGAATTTAGTAGAAATGGTCAAGAACTGGTAAAAAAACTTAAAAAAAAAAGGCATGACAAAAATTGAGAGTGCCAACCAAACATCCAGATTACTATTTCCACACCATAATCCCTCAAATGAAACAAGCTTCTCTAAACAATGAAGTAATTAAAACCAGAAGTTCATTATTAGAACCATACTGTTGTGCCCTTCCACTTCTTGTTCTTTCATCCCCTCCAAGCTCCAGCCAAGTGTAGTTTAGTAGCTTACATTTTTAAAGTGCAGGCATGTTATTAGCAATATGAAAAATTTCTGTTCCTGATAAGGGACTAGACTCCTAGTACACTGCAATTTTAACACATTTTTTGTTATTATTTCCTAATAATCAAATTAATGTAGTGAATAAAATTAGTTGGTTAATGTTCTTGGGAAGGCTACATGAATAGTGAGCTATATATGACGTTTAAGTAGAATCAAAACACTTTGGACCAGCTGGGAATGTACCCCTCTAATGTTTTCAGCTTTCTCAAAGATAATCCTGGTTTCTCTTTTGTTCCTCATAGAAACCGAAATGTGCAATGAACACAATGCATCAAAAATATAGCTGAATTCTGACTGATGCTCATGTAATCTGGAGTAGTTGTTTGTTTGGTTTTTTTTTTTTTCCCTTTTTAAAAACTCACTGACAAGTTGATTGACAGACATCAATTGAGATCCATCAGCACAAACACCACAGGCAGTATTCCAACCATTTCCCAACTATGTAACACACTGACGTATTGGCCGAGATCAGATGTCACAGGTAAATACCCTTTTTTATTCAGCCTCAGTGTCAGCACCAGTTTGGCAAATGACTTGTGTGCGTTATAAAGAAGCCCCAACGATGTGCCTTTGTAACAGTGCGTTTCAATGTGTAATTATACACAGTAATTGCACTGAAATAGTTGTCTCTTAAGATTTCTTCTTTTTTTATTAAAATACAAACGAGGTCACGCATTTCTAAAAGATATGTGCTTATGGTTTAACCTTTAATCTATGGTCACAGTCACCTCTTACCTCCTTAACTGCGAAGAGGGAGGGAAAAAAAAAAAAAAGAGCTGCTTCAGACAAAGAAAATTGTCCTATTCATCCATAGATGTTATTTTAATTGGTTAGGAGGAATCATTGTCAAATGTGTTACATATCTGCATGGAATTTATAGGCAGCCATTGTTGCCAGTGCTGCATTCACTCCAACCAAGGGCACACGGGGTTATCAGGCAGAACTGTGTGAGACCAGGAAATAAATCTGCAGGAAGCAACTGAGATACTCAATGTAGCTGTCAGGCAAAGGCTTGCAAAGTGATGAAAGAAAAAAACTGCACAATAACAACAATCATTACTTCTTCAATCCTGGGAACTATATCCTGTTAGAGAGAAGGGCTAAAAAGTTCACCGCTTGCCATCACAGTCTCATAAAGAAAAGATGACTGATCGTCCTGCTAACGTTTTTAATTAATAATCTATTCTTTCTTTTTTTATAATCCGGCTTAATTAGCTCAGACACTCAACAAAACCTGAAGTACAAAAACATATGGTCACAGAAAACACTGTGATGTCATGGATAATCCACTTAGGTCATCATAAGACCCCCATATTATTATGAAAAAGATATCATTGCCCAAATCACTCATTAGATAACAGGAGTTCAGAGATATTTCAGTATTTATAATATTTACGTATTATTTAAAAGACAAGTAACTCCCTGGCTAACACTGTGCAGGCACATTAAAATGAAATTAGCCTAAACACAAACTACTTTTAACAAAGAACTTTCTGAAATTCCACGTATCTACCATCTACTACTTTTTACTTACATCTGCTATATAATATTGAACCTAATTAATTTATTCAGAGCATAGTTTGATACCTTCATCCCAATTAAATTTAGTGCATTGAAAGTGGTATAAAAATAAAAACAGAATTGAGAAGTCAGCTACTTAAAAATAATTTTCAGATCATCTTCAGAACAATTTTATTATCAGTGACTCACATGAAAATTATCATTTCTAAACATGTCGCTAGGGTCCAACCGAAGCTTATAACATGTCTAAAATAGTGAGCAGGAATAAAAAGTCTTCTGGTGATTCTCAAACCAAGCTTCTGCTTCTTTCAGAGAAACTTTTTCCATCTTTGCATCACAAAGGTACAAAGAGTGGTTTAAAACAGCTGCTTAGCACAATGCTTTAAACTATTTTGTTAATATTTATTTGCAAAGAATTGCCTCAATACTTTTTATCCTAAATTTCCCATGTTGCGTACACTCAGCTGGTGCAGTATAAAAGTAGGTGTAAAATTTCATCTTTGAGAATATAAAAATCATCATCAAAGCAACATCAGCCGTGACTGTCACAGAGAGCCTTATTAAAGCAACAGAAAGAGAATTCTTGCGTACCACAGTTCAAGAGCAGTTACGTTTTTAATTTTTTTTAATTACGTGGCTGACTGGAAAAAATCAGAGTAGCGATCACCGGAGGCTGGCCAGCTCTCTCCTCTGCTTTCACAGCTAATGTAGGCCATACAAATATTAAACTCTAATGCCAGCCTTGCAGTTGTTGTGAATGTTAAAGACCATGACAAACGAGAGTCAATAATGCATCCGATTTGAGCCGCGGGAGGTTGAATACCTTCTGTGAGCCGCCGTTATGACCTTACAAAACAACCACACTTTCCCAAAATTAATAAAAACCTGCAGTGAAGCCAAAATTGAAGCTATGCCTTTCTTTTTTTTTTTTTTTTTTCCCCTCCATCAGTTCTTACCTTTTTGTTGTTCTCTTTAATATCTTGAGGATTCAGGGACTTGTAGTCACTGAGGGGGAAAATGGCACAGTGGGTATGTACAGTATTTGATAAAAGCAGCAGTTTTAAAACAAACTGAATCTAAAAATTTGACATACAATAATATCATACAGTAACTAGCAATTTCACAGCAATTCAATCAACAAAACTAATAGTGTGGAAAATTAAAGGAATAGATAAATAAATAAATAAACAAACGCCGATTACATGTTTCATCGCCTGAAGCTTTCCATCTAAAAAAGAAGTTAAGGCAGGGACTAGAGGCTGGCCTTGACAACCAAATTTACCAGGAGGTAATCCGTCCTTGTCAGCGTACAAAGAGCTACAGGCTTATTCCTCTCATCTCATTTCAACACCGGCACAATTTTCATAATCATCTTGAAGTCAGTTCTTTGTATAAGATTAAGAAGAAGAAAAACAAATCACAGAGAGGGGAGAAACAATTGTTTATGCAACGAGGGAGAGCAAGGAGGTCATAAAGTTTGAGCATTCATAAATCCGTTTTCTTAGAAAGGATGGTTCCCTGCTTAAACTGGTGAAAACAATTTCTGAAACAAACACGGTTTTGATTTTTACATAAACTTAAATGTTGCATATTTCTAGGAGAGTTAGCTTATGTAGACAGAGTATACAACTTACATTAGGTCTGGTCTAAAGTGATGTAATATTGCACAAAAGGATAAACCGTTTCTCCACGACGTAGTAAAATTGGTGATTTTCACTCCCCTATAGTTTTTTGTAACTTCTTTGCACCACACAAGCAGTGACTGACTAGCGTTTGGCTTTTTCCCCAAAATTGGACTTGGTATTGGGCTTGGCTGAAAAATAAAAAGAAAAAAAAAAAAAAGAAAGAAAAAAGAGAAGATAAAAGAATTTAATGCAAGATGAGAATTAACATTAATTGACCTAACTAGATGATCTGTATCCTTTGATGTGAGTTTAGGTCCTTCACAGCTGTCAGTTTACAATGACTGTAACTTGCAAAAGACACAAATCACAAGTTATTATCTCCAGTCGTCGCCCTTGGCACTTGTCTCCAAAGGGATGTAGATATATGGGATTCCAGATCTACATAGGAGAACAGGCCAAGAATTGTACCAGTGGAAACATCACGCTTAAATACTTAAGGCATAGTCCTGCACAGCTCGTGACACGCACCCTTGAAAAGATTTCCCAAAATGCAGCCATGGAAAAGCATCCCCATAAGCCCTTTTGCTTTTAATGAAGATAACACTGGGACTGAGTCAGAAGCCAGGCATAGCAGTGGCAGAGTTTACTGCTACGAGCTGTGATCTACCACTGCAGCATGGGGATGAAAGGCGCCGTGCCTGCGACTCATGGTTATGTGCTCATCTCATACAGGTTCCACTGTAAAGTTTCTGGCTGTGCTCTTCCTGTTTAAGTATGTGATTGCATAAAGGTAATTACAGCACAGGGTTTCTAAACTGCCTCTTCCAACCATACCAAAGATCTTCCTCTTCCAGGCTTTATGTCTTGTATGTGGAAAAGGAATTTTAGCCGTAAATGGTTAGAGGATGGTTTCTAAACAAGTATCATTAGTTAATAATGACTGTTTCCCAAAAGGGTATTTTGACACTTTTGGTAACTTTTTTGTTAGCACAAACCAAGAATTAAAATGAAACAAAATATTTCAAGCATTTGGCATTTGTCAGACTGCCCACTATTTCTCAAATTCAGCAGTGAACTTATTTCAGAGAACTGACTGCAGCTGATATTTTCAAGAAATATGCACTCATTTCACCAGGAAAATATTGTCACTTGAAAAACTTCTCAGACGTAATTAACAGGCAGAATGTGACTGACGTAAATCCAAAATCCGAGTTACAGGGAAAGAGCTGAGCTCATTTATTTTTTCACAGTAATATAATTAAAAGCACACATACACAACAAACATGCTGTTTATGTATCCGATAGCTACGGAGTTCCCAAATTAAGATAAAAATAGAACAAGTAATTTACTATATCAGAGCCACTTAAGTTCAAATCCTTTTGGCCACATTACCTATTTGTGAAAGACCAACGATGCCCCCACTTGACTAAAGTAAGTCAGTGCTAAGCAATTAGCTGCTAGCTACAAACTGATTTATGTTTTCACTGCTTCTGGGGAAGAAAACGTACAGAACAAGGAAAGTAATTTTTCACTTACCATGACAGCCCTAAAAAGTTGTTTCATAAACAAACATAATCAGATAGAAGCACTTCCAACTCATTTAGAAAGTGCAAAATGTATACTTTGCTGAGAGCTTTTAAAATACTGGACCAAATGAACAAAATAACTTGTTAAAAAGTGGTTTGGGGTGTTTCTTTAATCCTGTCAGTTATTCAAATCGGTACCAACAAATCTGTTCAGAATGAGACAAATATCTCTATATACACTGAATCTTAACAGGGATATACAAAATAGGTAAGAAAATAAACATGAAGCTAAACAGGGAAGCAATAAATGATAAACTTTCTTCACCATGCATCAGATTTTAATCAGAACCAAATACTCCTTAGGAGATGCCAGAGACTTATTGCAGATGCAGAGTGATGTAACTAAGATCACGTTTTTCTCCTGTTTTGTTATGGTTTTTGTTTTGTTTTTTTAAATGACTTTGTAAGATGCAGTAACTAATCACTGACCCCAAATTTAAGATACTACAGTACTTAAAATACATTTGCTGTCTAAATTATACATAAGGAAATAACACTGTTGGGAGAAAATTGTTAAAAGAACGCTATTATGATTTTATATGGAAAAATTATATCTTAAAATCTTAACACACAGAGCTACTTCAAACCATAGAGCACTATTTACCAGCAGGTATATTAAATGTCAACTATAAAGTTGCAGTCATCACCTAAATACTTTCTGGTTACCCCTGAAGTGGCCTTAGGCAATATTACCATTCTAATGCCATAACTACACATCTAAGAAACTGAAGATGTAACTGATTTTAAAACTAGGTTTTACAAAAGGACACTCACAGCTATTAAATCAATAAATTTAGCAGAATTTTGCGTTTTATTTATAAATTATCAACTTTTAAAACTCTAGGTTACAATTCCTTGAAAACCTATACTTAAGTTGGAGCTTTCTTTCCATTTATTTCACACTTTCTAAAAGTATTTTATCCATAATATTCAAGATTTAGGATGTGCACAATGTACTTACATAGTTTTCTCTCCGTAGCTGATAAAGCAGAAATCATATACAGCTTTCTTTCCCAGCTTAACACTCTAAGTTTTTGGGATAACAGTGAAGTTAATATCGTGATGATGTTATGCTCTTATTCATCACCTGAGTCAAAGCTTTTGTTATTTAATCTACAATAAAAACATTCATCTCAAGATACACTGGAGATATGAGTAATGGCAGAACTGGTCATAAGCACCTGACATCCCTTCAGAAGGGTTAACAAATGTTAGTTTTGATTTTTTTTGTAAAGCATCATTATGAAGAACACTTTCTTTTAATACCTGTAGGTTATACATATTAGTTACAGGTTCAGTGCAAACACAATTACTACCAAGTGCCTATTTCTGGCATATATTTGCTCTACAGGATTGGTAGAAACTCATCAAATGCAATGAAAATTTAATTAGCTTTTTCTTACATAAATTCTTTCAAGGCACTAACTACACAATTCTTCCAAGCCACACAGTAGTCCTGACTTGGCTTTCCGAGTTCAAAAGCCAAAGTCCCTGAGAATTCAGTTGGAAATGCCACTAAGCTGCATGAGACAGCCACAACAGATTACCAGATCTGCTTGCTGACCAACAAGTTACTGGATCTAATGTAATAGATTTTTATTCTGTGGATTAACTGCCTGACAAATGCAGAAGTTCCAGAGCTGGTCCCTCATGTGCTAGCTCAGATCTAGATGCTGCAGCATGCAGGTGGATTTATCAGCTGAAGTCAGCACCAGCTTCAGGATATCTTTGTTTCACAGTCAACACAAGCACTGAAATCTCTTTGTTTTATTCCTCTTTTACATGTTCTGGAAGGTTAATAAGTTTTATAGTGTATGCTTTTTTCCTCTTGGGATATTGTCCCATCAGACCATTACTCTATGTTAAACAAGAGGACAATAGCTTTGAATACTAGGCTGCATTCCCTACATTTCAAAATACTTAAAAAATTGTTTTGCTGCTCTCAGGAACCCAGGACCAGGTGCACTTATGGATCATGAAGTGAGGGTTGAGCTGTATCTCTGACAGATATAGACCAAGGCTCAGAAGAAGAAAACCAGAACAGGAACTGGTAATGGGAAGCAGCCAGAATGAAGATCACAGGGACTCAGCCTGAGAAACTCTCAGAAGCTTCTTGACGGGTTGCGTGGGGGTGGAGGATTTTAAAGAGAGCAAGAGGCAGTGCTGAAGGCTGGAAGGGAAAGATGATGAGAGGAGTAAGAAAACCAAAAAAAGTACATAGATGTGGGAATCTGGGTGGAAGACTTAAATGGTTTGAGCTTTATATTAATGAACACAACTCCCCAAAGAGGAAGGGAGTTGAGAGAACAACCTAGGCACGGTAATTAACTACAGGAGGAGAGGAAGCTGAGATTGAGATAGGGCTGAAAGTCAGAATAGGAAAGACCTACAAACAATCAACAGACAAGTTCTGTTCCTCAAGAAGCAAGTACAGGCAACAGTCTCTTACTTACCTGACTGAGCAAATTAAGAGATTTTACTTTACCCTTCTCAAAACTACAATGCTATCTGGGTTCATTGAAAATCATGCAATCATTAAAATGCAAGATCAGGTAAATGAAAATAGCACAGGACTAGGTGAGACAAAATGTGCAGCATGTGACAGGATGCAGAAAAAGTCTGGAAAGCTCAGCTGAACTGAGAGGTCTGAAAAATGGTATAAAGGTGCAATAGAAACAAGACATTCAAATATATTTCAGGTAGATAGGTAATTTTATATCATGAAGATGATGCTCCTGAGTTTTTGAAGGGAAAGACTTCATTTGGGAGTATTCTAAACTGAATACGCTTCATGTAATAAAATTTATGGCAAGGTCTATATGTGTCCAACGTGTATTTAACTTTGTTTATTCTGGGCTGTGAAACTGCCCAGGTATCAGCTTTTGGTGATTTTTAGCTAGTATGAGGACCAAAATAATATATGGAAATTTGGTCTGCAAAGACAGAATAAAACTGCTTTCTGTTATTCCAGAGACAGAAATACCATCCTCACGAGCCAGCTGTGCTGAGATGGTCCTTGTTTAGGCTCGTTATGTTTTAAGTAGGAGGTCAGCATAACATTAGGATAGCTTCAGTGACACAACAAAACACAAGCGGCACTGCTCTTTTCTTCTAGTAAGGGAAATGTATGCCTGTATTAGAAAACATTGGTATATGATTACACAAAATGTCTCTAGTCCCTTCTGCCCCTAAAAATAAAGGGCATCTGAAAACCCATCTGCCTGGTGTGAGTTACAGATTCATTGAATTTGTTTGCTCTGTACGATTAATAACAAGTATTTAGGTAACCTCCACATTTCCCTACCATCACACATCTTAAAGCTTTGCCTGCCTCACTCTTCTTATTGTGCCTACAGCTAATGTGAATATGTAACAAAATATAAACTTTCATCTTAAAAGGCTTAGGCATAAGCTTTTAATTGCTTATCATTTTACAGGTTTAATTTCAGCACAACCAAAACAGTCCACATTCAATCACAACATTAACATTTAGACATCTGCCTGAGCTGACACGATGCTCTCATGTTTGAATCTGGCAAGGTGAGGAGGAAGGTAAAATCCTTGGGAAAAGCCTCAAGTTAACTGTTGGTTAAATAGGTGG